GGTGGGGGTGAACCGGGGGAAGGTGGGTGAGGATTACAAATTTATCCGTGGACAGGGATAAGGATGAAAACTATACTCGTTAACGAGGGTGGACCGGAAATGAAGACTACACCCTCCATTTCGGTCCACTGTCATCCGTAGTTGGAGAGAAGGGGAAGTTAAAAATAAATGTGAGCATGGGAGGCCAGCTTAGTAGAGTTGAAAGGCTGGCCTTAAGTTTGAAAGGGAAAAAGCTTAACCCAATACTATTTGACAGCATTCAAAGATAGGAATGAGAATTTCAGATTTCCTAGAACATAAGTGTCCACAACAGCCCTCATCATGCTTGTAGCCTCTCTTTGTCCCGTACTCAGTCCTACAGTTAATGTAAACCTAATACCTCTGAAATGGGAAGTGAGTTGGATGTGGATTGGTCAATGAACATAGTGGCAACCAATCTGCTTGTGGGAACTAGTCACTTGTTTACACGTGGATTAACCACTTCTTTCACTTGGCAAACACGTGCTGCAACAGTGGGGTCACTAGGATGATGTGTCATCTCTATGCAACAGTGAGGCTAAGAAGATATAGCATTGGTATGACCTTGAGGAAGAGTCACTCGGCTTGTCACCTCAAGTCACAATGACAGCGCAAAAGGCTGCAATATGACTTTAAAATGAAGGGAACATGATTTGTGCTCTTAATTAAGCACTCATGACCTCAACTCAGGGTAGAGATTTAAAGGCTTGAGAACATTGGAGCAGGCCGCGAAGCAACCATATAGAAGTTTTGCTGGATAGAGTCTGATTTCGGGGGGCCCAAAGCCAGTGCATGAGACCCAAATCAACCGATTTAGAATTTTTGGGAAACATGGGGCTTAGCGGCTAAAGATTCATTATTTGTGGATTGGACAACTGAGTTCACTAAGTTAGTAGGATTCGGTCAACATACTTGAGTGGGGCCAAACAGAGCTGCTCGAGAGGCATTCCATCAACTTACGTGGTAGGGGAAATGTGGTGCCCATAGTGCCTATTTCGCATGTCAATTCTGGCCCCAATTTTAGGCACCCTTTCCTTGACTGTAAAATGCTTCATAAATTGCTTCTGTTTCATCTCTATTACAAGCTTTATACAAGACAATAAAGGGAAAATGCTTTCTAAATTTCACAAGTACCATAAAGTTGGGATCCGTGAGTCTCTCCTGGATCCCCATTCTTTCTAAATTTCACATGGATCCCAACTTTGTTGATCTTTTGCAACATCTCCTTTGAATGTGTGTGTGGGCCATGTGCGTAATATCTCCTTTGCAATATCTTTTGGATACACGTAAATACTCATGTATGTGCCACTGCGTTCATTTTCTGGACTTGAGGCAAGGCCAGTGTGACAATATTGTTTATACTTCACCACTCAACATTCCAATTTGACTCCGAATCCGACTCCGACTCCAAGTCTCCAATTCCTATGGTGTGATTTGGTTTCTCATGTTAACCTAGATTGTTAACTAACGAGACCTGGATTGGTTCCATGGTTGATGTTCCATGAATTATGCTGGAACTTTTATGGACTTTTTTTCTTTTTGTAGGGTAATGTACATCTTTAACCTAATAAAGTTCCTTTTTTTTTGGTGATATGATTCAGCATGATCAGGTTTTCAACTGTGGTGAGAAAGGCAAAATAGAGGAGAATGATCGACCTGCCGATGCTAGGCAAAGCATTGGACCTGAGACTCAAGATGCGAGTGACCAGGTGCATCCAAGACAACATTGTTTTTTTGCCTTTTTGTGGGGAATGTGCTTCTTATATGTATTTGAGTTTTGAACTATCGGCAGTTTTAACTTACTCACGCATTGGACCTGGCATGTGGATATTCTGGCCTTAGTTTATGCCGTCACCATATTCTTTTGCTTTTCTTGTTACGGCACATACATATATTGATTGGATGATTATTTTACAAATCTTTTTGTCCATGTTCATTCCCGTGTGCTCACAGTAGAAGAAAGAAGATTTGTTGCTTTTAATTGCAGAACTTTCAGCGCGGATATATTCTGATTGTTTTTCCCTTTTCTTTTCTGCCTTCCATTCTCTCTATTGAATCAGCAACCTAGAGATTAGGTTTCAAACTTTGCAGAACTTTCAGCGCAGATATATTTTGATTGTTTTTTTCCTTTCTTTTCTTCTTTCCATTCTCTCTATTGAATCTGCAACCTAGAGATTAGGTTTCAAACTTGTAACTTCTGTATTATAGTCTTTCTAGTGTTTGGAATGCATTTTCACTTGTATCATGCCTTTCAAATGAGCAGCTTCTGTTTGGCATTATGACAGATCTATCATGATTTTTGTAGTTCCGTTATTCGAAAAGTTTATGCTAAACCCTAATATAAAATTTGTTCTCCCAGGAGGAAGATAGAGAAGAGGAGCGTGAAGATGATTCCGAGCTGACAAAGCATCTGGCCAGGCAGAGACGGCGAGCTATTCAAGCAGCCAATGGGGCACGGAAGATCTCTATGTCTAGAAATACTTATAAAGACAAAGGTGGTAGGTCCTCTCATAACTCTAAGATCCAGAAGCAATTAAGCAGCTGGTGAAGTGTCTGATGAATGATGAAAAGAAAAACATATTAAAGATGCAATTAGGTTGATTATAGCGAGGTATATGGTAGAGAAATGTTTCACACGGCTGCAATTGTCGACAAGGTCATATATAAAGCTCCTTCAACCTCTTATGCAATGTGTGATTATGGCTGAAAAGGAAATACAGAAACGAATATTCGTAACTTTTAGTCCTTAATTCTGGTGGAGAAGCAGCAGAATTTTTTGTTTCTGTTGCTGTTGCTACTGCAGGAGCAGCAGCAGGAAGATCAAGTAAAGTGGCAATTAAGTCGTGTTTGGGTTGTGTTATTTAAGGTTTATATTGTGTACTTGTCGACCCACATAATTAATCCTGTCAATTTTTTTGACTCTTATACGTCCTGTTAAGTGCTGCTGTGGGTGGGCTTTTTATGTCCACTAATTTTGTATTGCGTTTAAGATTGTGCAGAGTCGAAAGTTATAATCCTTTATACAGACGGACCATGTGGAGCTTTATAGTCAAATCGACTCAAGAACCCGTGTATGATAATGTACCACGTGAGAAAGTAGAATAGTTTTTGAAATTTTGCATCCCTTAATAGACACAACTTAACCTTCATAGGGAAAATAAAAAAAATTGTAGATCCCAATAACTTGCTTTTAATGGAAATTAATTTATGGGAAAGTGACCATCCAGATTTTGTTGTCTATACGTTTGCTATGCAATATGAGCAATGCTATGTAAATGAGACACATCAACTTTTTTAAATGAGACACATTGATTAAATGATTCTCCTTCTTTTAGGATGCAAATTTAGGTTACAAATTTGGGTTACATAGTATTTCTCATTCAATATATAGATCCCAACAACTTGCTTTTAATGCAAACATAATAGCAATAAAGGCACTTTAAAAAAAAACTCGAAGAATAATTGTCTATACCTAAAGATACTGTATAACTCAAAAAAATAGCTAATCAATGAGTCAACTATTAATACAAATAATAACCACCGTTTGATGTCATTGTGCAAGCACAAAAAATAAACATCAGTTATGTAATATAAATATTTTAGGTAACAATAAATATAAATAAATATAATTACGTATTTCTTGGGAAAAAAAATCTTAAATTACATGTGGCTGCTGCCACTAGAATAGGAATTGGTCTCCTTCAAAAAATCATTCTCCAGTATTCCAAAATCACTCCAGAAAGCTGTGATTTAATGGAACGGAATGACATCTAAAAATAAATTTTAATGGAGAAAGATAAAACGGATTGGCTCATCTCTAATTCCTCCAAATTATCCTCCAACATAAACGGCGTCAATAATTCTGTAAAATTTTAGAAATTCATGGAGTGAAAATCCATTCTAAAGATTGAGCTTCCGCCCTCTGAGACGAACCTGCTTTCGTTAAGTTTTTTACCTGCCTTTGAATTTTGAGAAGGGTAAATTACACTTCAACTCCTTAAACTATGGACTCGCTTTCACTTTGCCCCTTGACTATTGAATTTTTGACATTGCCCCTAAACTATTCAAATTATTTTAAATTACTCCAATTGCAAACGCCTACTATCTCTTTGGACAAAAATTGTCGACGTGTCAGGCAAAGTGAATAACCTTATATAGTTCAGGGGCAAAATAAAATAACTTTTTGTTAAATATGTAATGTACGTTGATGGGACATTTTTGAGACAGGGATAGATCATCAACACGTGTCCTCAACACCGAGGGACCATCGTATGTCCTCACAGAGACACGTGTCCTCGGCACCGAGGATACAACCCTGTTCTAATGAAAAGCACAATTTCTAAGAGTTCATCTCCGCTCTAAGGTGCTCGGCGCCGAGGTACCCTCAAAATGTCCTTGGCTCCGAGGGCATATCCACTCCGGGACATCCATGCATGATTGGCACTAAATGCTCTCTCGGCACTCATCCCTTGCCATGCGTCCTTGGCTTCTGGGGAAGCTGCTGATTGACAACTGATAGTCTCAAACCTAGACTAAAGGTCAAAACTAGATCATACTAAGAAATCATTAGGGCGCCTTTCTCCACAAAGCCAGACTGGCAAACTAAACAGCACACTCTACTAAGAGGAGTGGAACATGTGGCATGAAGTACAGGATGAGAAATGAATAGACAAAAGTATCCCTGTAGATGTGCATTTATTCCAATCAAGCATTTAATGAACCCCTGGTTGATGGGACATTCACAATGGCTCTGATAGCCTTGAAGAAAGAGCATTAAATGCCCCAGGACCCAAGCATTTAATGCTTCTACATTGAAAAAAGAGCATTAAATGTTCAGGGGGGGCGAGAATTTAATAATGGGGGTTCCCTCATGTAGGAGTAGGGGGCACACTACCCCATGTTTGGGTATTACCTATTGCCTAGACCGTCAGTCATGATGAGTTTTTGAAGGTATAAATAGTTTCCAAAAACACAATGCAAAGGTACGCAAAATCATCCCTAAAGAGCAAAAACAGTGTCTTCTTCTTGCTCTATCTCAAAGAACTGACTTGATCGTCGGAGGGGATACGTCAGAGGACACTTCGACCCCTTCTTTCTTGTCTTTTGCGATCCAGGATCCATTCGTTACCCATCGGAATCAATTGAGCAGCCTCTTGAACAATTCATCACCACTCCTTAGGCCCCCTTTGGCCATTTTTTTGTTATTCTTGTGTTCTTAGACCATCGATTTTTCGGTCAACGACGAGTTCACCAAGGAAGAGATCTATCCTTTCATCTATTGTGCGAAAAACACCGGGCACAACTAGCACCGTCTGTGGGAAACGACGAAATTTCCTGAAGAACAGTGGTCATGGTGAAATACTCGTCAGAAAAGAAAGGGTCCTCAACAGAGGAACGCCGATTTACTGGCTCCTTCTTTGTCGAGAACAAAAGATCACATAGAAAGTGTCAATAGGGAGCTTTCCATGCATTCAAGGGAGCAAACCCGCGAAACTAGTATGGGTTTTGAATCAGGAAGATCCGCCCCGTTAGCCCGTCAACTAGTTGAGTTGATCGAGGAAAAATTTGGAGATCGGTTACGATAGTTGAAAAAGGACAACGTCAATGTCCTGAACCGACTGGATGAGTTTGCATCTTCCGAGGCGGATTCCAGGACTTGTCGCGATCCCAGGAACCTACCATCCGGGAAATAGAGCCTGAGGATCTGAGAAATTGCCTGAGTAGCAGAGCAAGGACTTCTAAAGGCTCCTAAACGCCTGAGGGCTGATGAGCACCCCCAAGAGGTTCCAGCCAAGAGGGTAAGGCCGTTGGCCTGGAACGACCTCTGTCGGGGATTTTTTGGGCGAGGGGGCATGGAGGAGTCCGAGAAAGGGTCAACCCTCTCCGTCCGACACCCTAGGGCAAGGGACCATGTTGGCCGACGTCGAGAAGACATAACGCCCCCCAGGAAGAAAGAGGACCTCAAGGAACGCTTGGATTCCACAAGAAAATATAAGGCCGTACAGAAGGATGACATGAATCACAAGGCCATCTAGTCACCCTTCACCAGAGATATCGTGGGGATGGAGGCACCAAAGAATTTTGTGGTACCAAGGTTCAAGGTTTATGATGGGCAATCTGACTCGGAGGCCCATCTCAGACAGTATAAACAAATGATGTCCCTGTACCATTCTGACCACCGACTGTTATGTCGAGTGTTCTCGATGAGCCTAGGGGACTCTTCCATGAAGTGATTTGAAACTCTTCCACCCAACAACATAGGGTCTTGGAAAGGAGTTAACCAGACAGTTCTCTACTCAGTACATCACAGGGAGTAGACGACCCAAAGACGTTGGATTCCTACTCACCTTGAAACGGAAGTAAGAGAAACCCTTCGCCAGTATGTCACTCACTATTGGAATGAGGTAAATGAGGTGAAGGGATGTTTCAAAGTCATGACAGCTGCCTCCTTCAGACTTGGTCTATCACGGGATACTGATCTCTACCGGTCCTTGACTAAGAAGACTCCAGCAGACATGGGAGAATTGATGTCCAGAATCAATAAATATTCCCGGATAGAGGATGAAATGGTGGGGGGCAAAGGGAAGGCTCTAAACCCTAAGAAGAAAGAGAAGGAAAATGAGGGAACCCCTCCCTAGAAAGGGTTAATACCTCCATCAGGGAATTCCTTCAAAGGGGTCCATACTGTGTTTAAGGAGCCCATTTACAAGTTGTTCCACAAGATCAAGAAGGAACCCTTCTTCAAGTGGCCCCCAAAGATGCAGGGTGATCCGTCCACCCGAAATCAGGAGGTAAAGTGTTCATACCACCAGGACTGCGAGCACCCCCACCGAAGATTGCAGGGTCTACAAGTCTTTCTTGGAGAAACTGGTGCAAGACGGACACTTGAAAGAGTACATACAGGAAGCAGCCCTGGTGGAGGCCTATGATGCCGACAGAACCGCCGTTCAAGACAATGTAATTGATGTCATCCACATCTGCCTGCTGGAGCGCTCAACGTCCAAAACTCTCAGATTTGATCTTAAGAGGGTAAATTTTACAAGGAAGGTGGACGAGGGGGACGAAGGTCAACCAGACAAGAGGCCCCGATTCATTGAGGAAGACATCACTTTCTCCAATGCCAACCTGGCAGGTGTGGTCCTCCCTCACGAAGACACTTTGATCCTGACTCTGAAGATTAGCGACTTTGACGTCAAAAGGGTCCTGGTGGACTCCTGGAGTTCATCCGAGGTAATGTATTTCGATGTCTTGAAACGTATGGGGCTTGACTCTAAGGATCTCACTAAAGTCTGTACACCCCTCTTTGGGTTTAATGGCTCGTTTGCCTTGCCCTTGGGCAAGATCACGCTGCCAGTTATCACCGGGCCCATTACGCTCAGCACGAAATTTGTGGTGATCGACTCTAACTCACCTTACAACGTCATCATGGGATTGTCCTGGTTGAATGCACTAGGGACTGTACATTCTACGTACCATCAAAAGTTAAAGTTCCCTACCCCAGAGGGAGTGAAAGAGATCTGTGGTGATCAGGCGTCCGCCAAAAATTAT